GTTTATAAGTTATAAATATTATAAGCAAAGTGATAATATACCTTGTTATCAACAGAATTTGCAACCAAAGAATTTGAAGGTTCACCAAATTCATTTGCATGTGCAATTGGTACTGAAGATGCTGCATACATTTAATTAGCTAATTTTAATATATGCGGATGGTTAATTAGCCAATTGCACACTTCTAAGACATCATCCATTTTATTAAATGTTGCTGGAATTTGGTTATCGTTATTGTTTTGTAATGGAATTTGTTCAACTTCTTGTAAATTATCTTTAAAATAGTTACTAAATTTAGAAATAAAATTATTATATTCTTTTTAATTAATAATAGACAAATACCTGATAGAATATCTTCAGAATTATCATAATTATCTCTTGGTAAAGATGCTATTAAATAAAATATTTTTATTTTATTTTAATTTTATAATAATAATAATAATAATAATAATAATAATAATAATAATAAATTACTAACAAGTTGATAATTCGTCTTCATTATTTGGTATATCTTGATCATCTAACATTGTCAAGATATCGTTATTTTCAAATGTATCTTCTAGTGATACTTCTCTTGTATCATTTTTTGTTGAAGAATAATCTAAAAATATAAGATTTTAACAAAATATATTATTTAATCATATAATTTTTTTAATAGACCTAGCCAGCTAGCTTTTTTAATTTAAATTATTTTAAGATTTATAAAAAAAATCTTGTTAATAAAATATAAATATTTTCAAAATTCAACCCGGCTAGGTTATAAAACTAATTAATTTTGTATTATTTAATTAATTTTTTTTATACTTTTTTTTGATTTCGATAATGAATTTTTCTGTTTTGGAGTTGAAGATTCAGCTACTTCTTCTTCATCATCTTCTTCAAGATTTATTTGAATAGGTCTTTTTTCTTTTTGTCTTGAAGAAAGATTATTTGCTGAAGATGACTTAGAGATATTATTAGTTTTTGAAGAGGACTTGGCAGGACGGCCTCGCTTTGATTTTAAAGTATTAGATTTCATTTTTGAATAAAATTATTAATTAAACTTGAAATATAAAATTATAATTAATAAAATTTAAATAACTTATTTATAGATATTTTTTTATTATAAAATTTAACTCTTTGTTTACACGATATTTAAAATTTGCATTAATATTATAAAATTTAACTTTTTGTTTACACGATATTTAAAATTTGCATTAATATTAAATAATATAGACTATATAGTAA